GTGCTTTGTGTCATTCTGGGACCTAGAGGAGAGAAGCTGGCACCATTATGCAGAACCCCTTGTCTCCTGGGCTGCTCAGGGCAGGGACAGCCACTGTTCTCGCTGCACCACAGCCCGGCACTGCCTACACTGCAGCTCCTTCACCCCTGCCTGGAGACCCAGCCAGAGCAGGGCTGAGTCTAGTGGGCAGAGCTCCGGGAAACTGCAGGGAACTAGGAGGCAGGAGACCTAGGTTGTAATTGCTGGGTGGGGCTGGACACGCATCCTGGCCTCTCAGCCAAGATTACTTATCTGGATGTTGGAGACTGATGCCCAGAGCGTCCTGGGAGACAGGCAGTGCCGCAGAGCCTGTCTGTGTGGGCAAGGGGTGGAGGGCCCGGTCCCTTCTCTGAATTGGTCTGTTTCTGTTTGCAGGGCCTTCGATAGCATGGTGACATCTATGATGATACAAGTCTGTTGAACAAGAACACTGCTGCCTGTTGATTGAAGAGAAGCATTTTGTATATAACCATATTGTGTTGATGTATATTTATTGTCATTTGTCTCTTCCTGAGTGTCACAGATGTGCTGTGGGGGGCAAGGCCTGGTTTGGTGCATGTCTATTAAAGGTCTTGTGACGTTAGATTTGGCGTTTTCTTTCTGTGTCACTTCTTTCTGTGTCACCAGAGAGTCTAACTAAGAGTTTAATTAATGCAAGACTTTTTAGGGACTGGGGCAGAGGTCAGAGACTAGACAGAGCTGGGAGCTGCTGTCCCCACTAGGCACAAAGGGGCAGGGGGAGCAGGGTGGCGGGCGCCCACAGCGCTTGGAGCCCTGGAGAGGCTGCAGCCATGGGGCAGCTGAGGAGGCCCCAGAGGGACTGACGTGCTGGCTTCTGCTCCACCCGCTGCTCTTCCTGCGCCCTCCAGTGGCCAACCAGGTGGTGTGGTGTGTAAGGCCCCCTAGAAGGGCACCAAGGACAGCCCACACACCTTCCTCCACAGGGAGAAGTCCTTTTGTCTTGTATCCGGCCTGACTCTGGACGTGGCCCAGCTTTGGGAGGCAGCCCTCAAAAGATCTAGGACACCTCGTGTAACTGCAACGTCTCACCTGCGGCTGCTTTGTAACCGTGAATGGGTTCTCTTCTGCCTGTTAGTGCAGGGAGTTCCTAATGGCCAGAGGGCCAAACAGAGGGTTAGGAGATGAGTCCTCTCCTGCCCCCCAGATCTGTGGGCAAGCTGCCTGGATGGGTGGGGGGCTTGCTTACATTTGAGGAGCTGATGTAATCATATGTCTGCATTCTGCTTCCCCAAAAGCCTGCTCAGCCAGGTCCAGAGCACAGTCCTAACAGTTGACCATGACTGAGGTGACAGCCCCTTTTGGGGTTTGGCATCCCAGGTTCTAGTATACTTTGTCCTTTGATAACATGGCCCATGAAGTGGGAGAAGTGACAAGGACCTGCTGGGTCTGAGCCCCACCTTCAGGCTGCTCCACATTGTTTTTAGCCCGGCTAATGAGTGTGCCCCAAGGCAGTCGTGAGTCCCCATCACCCACCTCAAACCTGGGGAGAGGGCCTCTGACCAGGAGGAAGGTGGCTCAGTTCCTTCTGGGGAGTGGGGAAGGCTGTAGCGTCAGTCAGCCTGGGGCTAGAATTGGGAGATGAACTCTTCTCTGCACCCCTTTGGATTTCCTTGTATTCTAATGAGCATGGGATTAATTTTTTTAAATTACAGAATAAAATAATCAGGAGGGTGTTTAAAGCACAAGTTCAGGTGGAATTGTAACACCTAGAGTAGGGCTGAGAAGTACCAACCTGTAGGTGATGGTTGTAATGCTAGTGGGCCGTAGGCCACTCTCACACATGGTTTCTTCCCTGCAGTCCATGGTTGAGGTTTTAGCAGTGATTTCTGCTGCCTGAGTAGTGGCTCTGCAAGTTGAGTAGGGATTGCAAATTGGGACTCCCAACATCCATTGGATTCAGGTGGCAGATGGAGTATTCTTTCTTTCTCATCTTTTTCCTTCTCCCTGCCTGGAACTTGGATATGATGGTTGGAGCTCAGACAGCCATATTGAGAACATGAGGATGTGATTTATCCACTAAGGATGGGGAGCAAAAAGCTAGCAGGAGCCTGGGTCTTTGCTGACATACCATCCCTGATGTATCTGTGTTCAGCAATTTTTTATGTGAGAAAATAAACTATTTTATGGAAGCCATTGCTACTTGGGTTTCTCTGTGGGTACAGCCAGACCAAACCATAAATGCTTTTTCTACGTCAGGGAGTTTTCACACACACTGTTAGGTAGCATCTCATTTTAAGCCTGAGGAAATGAAGGATTATAAGTAATCTGTTAGCCTTTGTCCTGTCAGCAGAACTGTCAGCAGTTTCAGGTTATCTTTTTGCATCTCTGTACATGAGGCTGGCCTCATTGAGGGCTACCTGCCTGCCTGTCCCTTGCCACTCCTTGGGTGCTGCTCCCAGTCAGCCCTTGGCTGTTGTTCCAGGTGATTTCTCCTGCTGAAGTTCACCACTAGCAGTTCAGTCTTCCCTTGGGCATCAGCACCTCAACCTCTCCTGCCCCAGACCAGATGGGGGCAAGGGGACCCATGTGTCTCAGCTTTCTCTGGGCACAGCCATGCAGGTCTGCTCAGCGGCTCACCACTTGGAGCCCTTGCCAACCCATGTGGTGGCCACATCCAGGAGTGCTTTCCATCCTCCTGCCACTTTGGCCTGCTCAGGCCTGAAATCCACAGGAAAAGAGGGACTCGTGGGCCCAGTCTCGCCTCGAAGTGGCCACACAGAAGGGATCAAGAAAATGCTTCCCAAAAGGAACTATTGGGTTGTCGGAAAAGTCATGACGTATTTTTTCTATGCTTTTTGTTGCAAAAATGCATCATGACTTTTCCGACAACCCAATACTTGGGGTAGAAGACTCAGTGGGACCTTACAGAAAAGCCAACATGCACGATGAGTCCATCAAGACCAACACATATCCCACTTACTGAGGAGGAGAACAGCCTAAGGTGTTGAGCGGGTAGGAGCTGGCATCATCTGCCTGGTACTATATAAAGTGCAGCTCAGGGAACTCCATCTGGCGGCATGCCTCTCCTGCAGCCCCCACTGCTCATGGTCCTGACCACACACAGAGACTCCAAGGCCAAGCCGGGCTCTGCCCTGAACTGCTGGGTGGCCTTGGCAAGGTCCCCTGACACTCAGCCCTTCTACCCACATTTTCACTAGGAAGGAGGGGCTTAACACCACAGAAATTTACTCTCTCACAGTTCTGGAGACCAGAATCAGAAATCAAGGTATCAGCAGAGGGGGTTCCTTCTGGAGGTTCTGAGACAGGGTCCATTCCAGGCCTCTTTCCACTTCTGGTGGCTGCCAGTGATCTTTGGGGGCTCCTTTGCTTATAGACACATCACCCCAACCTCTGCCTTCATTTCCGTCTGTACATCATCTTCTCTGTGTGTCTGTGTCTGATAGATCCAGTGTGTGTCTTCTGATTTAGGGCCTACTCAGATGGTCCAGGATGACCTCATTTCAAGATCTCCAACTTAATCGCATCTGCAAAGACCCCTTTTCCAAATAAGGCCCCCTTCGCAGGTTCTGGAGATTAGGACGTGGACATATTTTGGGGGAGGGCCATCATTCACCCTACTATAAGGGCCAACATTGACCCCAGGTCACAAGGGGCGTGTGAACCTGGCCTGAGGGTCAAAGACGCATGTGGGTAGAGAGCAAAAAGGTGGCCCATCCTCCCCAGAGAACACTGTCTTCGCTGGTGCTGGAGAAGGGGAACCAGGGACAGAGACAGGGACCAACCCACCTGTACATTGAAGCACAGAGCAGCTCTGTTAGAAGCTTAGGGAATTGGTAATCAAATAAGCATAACAAGGCAGAGAGAGTTCCGTTAGAAAAGGGCTGAAAGGGGGCCGGCCGAGTGGCGTGATGGTTAAGAACTGGCTTGGGATGCCAGAGGGCCCCGGTTCGGATCCCACATATGAGGGCCAGTGACACTGCCCTCTACAGCTAAGATGCTGAANCACCAGTTGCCTCATTAGCACACCACAGACACCCTTATCACACCAAGAGTTTCAGGAGCTGTATACCAGGACTTTTATCGTATCATCAGTACTGAGCACCACTCTGCCCTCTGCCTTGCCTCAGTCCTCACATCACTGTGAGGAGAGCTGGACGGGGAGGAGGTGAGGCCCAAAGAGCTTCAGTAACTTCCCCCAGCTCGGAACCCAGGTTTGTCTGCATCCCCACTTTGCCCCCACACCTCACATTGGCTAATTTCAGAATCTCCATGTCACTCCTGGCTTCCTCCGGCAAGGAGCACAGGGGACAAAGTTGCAGAGAGACAAGTGAACAGCTTAGCTCTCAGTCAGGAATCTGGCCACCTTCCTACTCTTCACAGGGCTGGACCACCAGTGTAATAAACGATGTGACCGTGGGCCTGGGGCTGCACACAGACCCGATGGGACATTCTTCCTGCTTCAGTTAAAAGACCTGACCTTTGGCCAGAATTCTCAAGACGGCGGGAGCATCCTGCCTAGCTGGACAGGGGCAGCCCTGGAGCAAGGCAGGTGCAGTGGGCTAAAGGCAGAGGAAAGAGGCTTTTTAGGCAGGCAAGGCCTGGATCTTGGTCAGCTTGGCACCCCCTTCTGGGCACTAGGTGGGAGGGCAGGAGTGAGCAGGGTGTGCTAGGGAGTTGGACCTCACCAGGCCAGGGCTGCAGCTGGTCTGAGCTGCCCCTCCATCCTTCCAGAGTCCCAGGGGCAAGAAAGGGAACAGTGCAGAAGGGGTCTTCTCCCGGCCTGGACACGACAACCTCGCTTCAACTTCACCCCCCTGTGAGGTTGCAGCCGTCAGGGCCGGGCGCTACCCTCACACCGGATGACCGTCCTCACGGCCCTCCTCCCACAAGTCTGCCCTTACCCACAGTCCAACACCTGCGGGCTTCCCCCACCCGCCACCCCGAGCGCAGCGCTCCCCAGGAGCCCGGCCCGCACTCACGTCGTCCATGAGCAGAAGCAGGATGTTGGGGGCCTGTGGGACGCCCTTGGCCCCCAACCCCACTGCACTCAGCACTAGTAGCAGCCACCACCTCATTGCCGCAGCAACCGGCGCCATGGCAACCACGCCGGGCGCCGCCGAGCCCCGGCGAGCAGCAATCACAGGACTACGGCTTTTCCGGCCTGGCGGCGGGGCGGGGC